ACAATACAATAATCTGTTAAGTGAATCTTCCTACTAACAAAGATTTTAAAAAATTGTTGGCAAATTTTGACAAGCGACTATATGGTTACTAAGTTACATTATAGTTACTGTGGTAGAGGTCAATTGTGAGTCAAGGACTGGAATGCAGGAAAGGGTCTCAAACTTCACTGTGGTCACTGAGTTTGCCCACATTCTGAAATAAAAGAAATAAACATGTGCTACTAACTCTTGAACCGGTGCCATAGTGAAAGAACAGTAGTAACCGAGCAAACTGTCTAGTGGAGCTAAGAAAGTGGACTTGCTCTGAAGTAGGAGAGTGTAGCTGTTTAAAGCTCCAGGTCTTATACCAAATTCTGACTTTGAAAGTAACTCTCCCACTTATCACTGGTGTAACTTCCCTGGGAATCAGTTTCCTAATTTCTGAAAATGGTTATATAATAATATTGACCTCATAAGGTTGTGACAAACTCAGTGTCAAAAAATCTACTAGTTGAGTAAACTCCAACTCATAGTGACCCAATAATATATGAGAACAGAGTGGAGTCGTTCCATAAGATTTCTGAGACTGTAAATCTTTACAGAAGACACTCTCATCTTTCCACCTCTGAGAGACTGATGGGTTTGAACCTCCATATTTGTTCGTAGCCTGATGTTTAACTCACTGTACCACCAGACTAGTAATGAACATAAAGTCCTTAAAATATTCCTGAAATATAGCAAGTACTCAATAGATGGTTTTTGTTGTGGTAAGTGTATAATAAGGAGCTCTGGTAGCTTAGTGGTTACGAATCGGACTGCGAACCACAAGGTCAGCAGTTCGAAACTATGAGCTGTTCTGAGGGAGAAATTTGCAGCCTTGGAAACCCTGTACAGGGTTGCTATGAGTTGGAACCAACTCCACGGCACATAACAACAAGTGTATAATAATGATAATAATAACAGTGCTATTATTATTATTCTATAAATATATACTGTTCTGATTGAGTGTAATAGGAATGACTCTGGGGGGCACCAAATGCTGTTCTAGGGATGAGAAAAGGCAAAATGATGAAAAGTCGTAGAAAAATGACAGTAAGTCAAAGTTCTAGGAAAACTCTAAAATTAAATTATGAAGTCCAGTATTTGGAAAATAACACTGATATTTCAGATCAGAGATGTTCTGGGTTCTGCAAATAATATTCCCAGTGATGGCAAAATGAGCCTGTAGGCAGGGTATCATTGTTGTTAAGTGCTGTCAAGTTGGTTCCAACTCATAGGGTTTTTGAGGAGCAGTTGGTGGGTTTGAACCACTAGGCTTGCAGTTAACAGTTCAGTGCTTATCCTGTAGCACCACACCAGGACTCCAAGGGTACCATGGTGGTGGTGCGCCACTGAGTCAATTCCAACTCATAGCACCCCTGTGTAGAGTTTCCAAGGTTATAAGTCTTTATGGGAGCAGAAAGCCTCATCATTCTCCTGTGGAATAGCTCGTAGATTTGAACTGCTGACCTTTCAGTTAACAACCCAGCTCAGTTTGTAATCCACAACGTAAAAACTAGGAATTTTTGCATCTAAGAGAGGTAGATGAAAATTGCCAGCATAATTGCTGCTGAGAGAAGCACATATTTTATGGCAAGTGATTAGCACATAATTGGTGGTCACCAAATCCTCTAAATAGTGATATTGTTGGATTACCTAAATTATTAAGCAAGTGTTCATAACTGGCACTTCCCAGAAGGAGTGAGAATATTCCCTTACTTGTAACAAAAGACTCTGAGGGGGCGAATTTTAAGATAGCATTGAGATGTTAATGGAGTAATAGGCTAATATAAACAATACAAAGGCTTTGATACTACCTTCGCATTTTCCTCCAACACTTACATGTTAATTTGCTTGACTCACCTTATTTGAGTGAATGGTACTGATTGCAGCAGATACCGATTCAAAAAATATTTGTTTCTCTGAGTCTATGTTTCCACAGTACTTCACTGCTTTTATCAAGGAAGCTACAACAAAGCACAGGTAATGAAGATAGATGGAGTTACAAAATGATCCTATTCAAAGTTAGCTAAGGACACTCTCTTACCTGTGCAGTGGGCAAACAATATATCCACATTTCTGTTCTTACAGTCCATGTAAACCTGGAGGAATTGAAATTATACACCCATGATTAATTCGGGATAGGTGTCAGGAGAGATGAGATGGTTTTCAGAAGAAATGTGAAAATTTCTAACAATGATCTAAAAAGTCAATTTTTATGAAATCACACCACCAGAGGGAGCCATTGTTACACAGTCAGGCACACCCTGAGCCGCTTCTTTAGCTTGCTTTGCTGTTGTTATGTGCCGAGGAGTCTCAAAGCGACCCTGTACAGGGTTTCCGAGGCTGTAAATCTTTACGGGAGCAGAAAGCCTCATCTTTCTCCCGCGGAACAGCTGGTAGTTTCGAACTGCTGACCTTGCGTCTCGCAGCCCGATTCGTAACCACTACGCTACCAGAGCTCCTTTAGCAAATTAAAATGGATACACAGGGCATTCACCTTACTGCAATTAAATTTGTCTGTTCACATCTTCCACTTCATTTAATAATAATAATGCCATCAATTTCTTTCCCTATAAGAAAAATACAGATTCTTTCTCAACCTTTTTTATAGAATGTCAAGGACTTTGGGGGGAAAGTGATGAAAGCTTTAGACCTACTTCTCATAGTAACATATTACATTAATTTCACCAGATTTGTGGATGTGCTAAATGTTTGGTAAATTGAGAACCTCACTATAATCCAAGCTAAGCATGACTTCCTAACTTCTATTTTTAAAGGCCAATTAACATTAAAGATCCTAACTAATTTGCTTGAAATACTTTAGAGTCTTCTCTTGTTTAATTTACAGAAAATTTCATTTAGGAACAGTTTATTGATGGCCCTAGTCTTAAATTCATCCAGACTAAAGGTAGTCTATGAAACTGAGTGACAGTGAATCTAAATGTTTTAATAACAGGAGGATAGGGTTAATTATGTAAAAATGAGATACTTTGCATATGAAATGTATAAAGCTGCATTTCTAACACATTCTAAGGGTGTTCACAATATATAAAAAATATTTCCCCTTATATCCTTCCAGCAGTAACCAGTATTCTCTACTGGTATAGGAATGAGAAATGTTAGGAGCTGTGTCATTCTAAACATATATACCTGAATAAATAAATAAGTAAGTAAGTACACAGGTAGCTAAGTAGGTATAGTGATAAGTAGATAAATATTTACATAGAAGGAGATTTTACAATTGAATAAATGGTTCTGGTTTCTGTGAATTAAAATGATTAATTCAAGGTGACCTCTCAGTGTTTGCCTTTTTCTTAAGCTCAGTGGGGCACAAGCACAATGTTGTGGGTAGTTTGTTGGTGCTGATAAACATAATCTCAAGTTCGCTGACCTCTCAGTGTGCCAAATACAAGAATAAATAGAGGTCGCCCTGCTTCCTTCAACCTACAATTCCCAGGAGAACGTTCCTTTAACTAAAAGGACTAAGAAAACAATCCAGAGTGTGTGGTTAGAAAGTAACACATGTAACTTAAAAAATAAAAATCTCCTGGCTATCGTAGTCTCCATCCACCCTCCCTCAACTTGGCTAGAATTAAGGAATATTTAGCACCACTGATATTATTTACATTTTAAGAATTTACTTCTGCAAAATGAGACTAGCAGCTAACATTATTGAATACTTATTAACTGCTAGATACGTTCGTTTGTGCTTGATATGAAATGCATCATTCTTGAGCCTCATAACAACTTGATAAAGTGAGGATTTCTACTTCAAACCAATGTAGTATTTAGACCAAGGGTTTGTCTATCTCTTAAGTGGTAATTTTATAGCACTGAGGGATAAAGCACTGGACTGCAAAGTTGGTTTGAACCACAAGGTCTGTAGTTCAAACTCACCTGCTGCTCCTTGGAAACCCTATGCAGAGCTGCTATGAGTCAACAGCATTTTAACAACAACAAAAGTGTTAATTAACATGTATCATAATGTCATTGTGCTATTGAGTGCCGTGAGTTGACTGAACTCATAGTGATTCTATATGGTAGACTATAACAGAAGCAAATTACAAGTTCATTCTCCAGTGAAGGCACTGGGTAGATCTGAACCACCAATCTTTCAGTCCCCAGACAAGTGCTTAGCCATCGCATCACCAAGGATCCTTAATGCTATCTCATAACTGTGATAAAACAAGTCAGGTAGTAAGAAGGCAATTAAAAGGGCAAACTCTTTTCAAAACTGCCACATTTATATATTATTGTTGTCAAGTGACATTGAGTCAGTTCCAACTCATAGTGACCCTTCATAGGGTTTCCAAGGAGCAGCTGGCAGTTCAGTGTTTACTATATAGCACCATACTGGGAAGTGTTTATATATATGAATGAAAAACACCAGGTCAAACGTAAATATAATTTTCTGCCTATTTAAAAATAAACCACATCTGCTGGTTTATGTCATAATTTAACTGATATATACCATTTTGCAGACTATTAAACAAAACAAAGCCACTGCTATCAAGTCAGTTCTGTCTCACAGTGACCCGATATAGAGTTTCTGAGACTGTAAATCTTTATGGGAACAGAAAGTCTCATCTTTCTCCCTCAGAGTAGCAAGTAGAGTCTAACTGCTGACCCTGCAGTTACCAGTCCAACATATAACTCCCTACACCACCGGGGCTCCTATGTACAGACTACAGAGACTATTAAAATGAAATTTAAAAAAATAAAGTCCTTTCTCTACAGGCCCAGTCCCAAAATTGCTTGGACTTCTCTGAATTAAATCCTAAACTCAATGGGAATTTAAGAAATATATTTTCCCCTCTCTACTAACCCTAAGTCCTGATTTTCAATAATTGGAGAGGACAACCAATAAATATTCAAGCAAATTCAGAAACAAGTGTAAATGCAGTTAAATAAAAATATACATTTCTCTTGTTACATGCCACTGAATCAATTTCAACTCAAGAGACTGTATAAGGTTTCTAAGGCTGTAAATTTTCCTGGGAGCATAACGTCTCATTTTACTACTGTGGAGCAGCTAGCAGACTTGAACTACAGACGTTGTGATTCACAATTCAGTGTTTATCAAACAGAGCCAACATGCTCCCAAAATACACCTTGTTCTTGTTAAGTGCCGTCGAGTCTGTTCCGACCCACAGTGACCCTCCCTGTACAGGGTTTCCAAGGAGCAGCTGGTGAGCTTTAACCATTGATCTTGCAGTTCAAATGACTTTGCAGTCTAACAGCACCACACTAGGACTCCAAAATACACATACTAGCCTTTATATTCAAAGAACAATCCTAGTTTCATATTTCTCAAAATAGTATCCTTAAATTACCTATATCAGAATAATTTATTGTTTAAAATAATATTTGTAGATTAGAACCAAGACCCTAAAAGCTGCATTTTCAGAGAGCACTGAGGATGATCCTACATACACAAAAGTTTGTAAATAGTCCTCTAGACCATTATGACACAGAGTAAATCAAAATTCCAAACACGAGAAGTCCACAAATGAAGAGGAACTCTGTTTACATTCTAGATTTAGAGGCAAGAAGATAGAAAATATTCAGGTTGAATCTCAGGTCAAAATTATGCAAAACTTTTAGAGTGAACAACAAGAAAATAAAAGCATATTATATGGGGATGAGGCTGACCTGCCAAAAATAGATGCTAGGTTTAAAGTCTAGGATTTTTTTAAAATCAATTATTCTGCATAATCTATGTGCTTTCTGAATATCTGCTAATTCTGGAGCAAAGTCAGTATCGTACAGTATCACCACAAGGTGAGCAAATAACCTACAGTGGTCATTCAATACAAACCTTTCCGTTTGTGTTAAATGAATAAACTGAAATCCAGACAGACAGGTTTGATGATTTCCCCATGCTTCACAATTAGTGTGGCAGAGTAGAAACTCTTAGCTACTACATACTATGCGACTTCCCCTCCGCATGCTCCCACCCTTACCTTCACACGATGCCATGCTGAAGTTTACTACTATCCTATCTTGAGTTTGAAGTATTAGAAATGCCAAAGCAAAATCAAAATATAAATGAGCAGAGGCACACATTATGCAACCCCACACACAAAAAATCAAAATCTACAATGCAGTGCCTATAATGACTACTGATCTTAACTCTTTACAAGTCATTGTCAGTGTTTGTTAAGGGGTTCATTAGAACATGTTACTTATTGCCATTATCATTCATGGCTGTTGTTACTATTAAGTACCTTCAAGTGCGTTCTGACTCATAGCAACCCTGTAGAGGGGTTCCAAGAAGGGGCTAGTGGGTTTGAACTGCCAACCTTGTGGTTAGCAGTCCAGTGTTCATCCTAAAGCACCACACCAGGACTCTATTTGACTCTGTTTTCATATTTAACTACCATTAAAGTGTGGTGCTGTTGACTAATGCATCAGACTGCAAAGTCATGTGAACTGCAAGGTTGGTGGTTCAAGCTCACCAGCTGCTCCTTGGAAACGCTATACAGGGTTGCTATGGGTCGGATGGCACTTAACAACAACAAAGTGTTGCAGGTATACGATGGCAAAAAACAAAGAACAAGTCAGATTTCCACATCTGGCCATGATGAGAAGACAATACCACCACATAAAGACTATTCCATCCTCTACAAATAAGTAGAAAACTGGACAAAAATATATGAACAACTGTTTTCAGGCACTGGGTGACATACTGCATGGGACTCAGTGCTCTGAGAAAAGGACAACTGAGGTGAATCCTGTAATCACCTCAATTTTCTTCCACCACACCCTGCCTGGGCCATGCCAGGAAGAAGCGGATCCAAAGAAACTGCAGCACGCTCTCTGCTTTGATAGGAATTGGAGTGCAGGGAGGGATAGAGTAATGGAAAGGAGTTACACAGAGAAAGAGCTTCAGAACTTTTCTTAAGGTTTTGAGAAAGTCTTTAGCTGAATACCAGACTACCACACACAGTGGGTTGTTGTTGTTGTTGTTATGTGCCGTGGAGTC